TCACTGCAAAACTCAGACAGCTCCGTCAGGCCAAAGAAGATGCTTACAGGAAGGGGGACAGGGTCTTGTATAAACAGGCTAAATACACACTGGAAAAGGAGATCAGAGTGACAAAGAGGAATTATTCTGAAAAGCTAAGGATTCAGTTCTCTTCCAGAGACTCAACATCAGTGTGGAAAGGGATTCAGTTCTCTTCCAGTGACTCAGCATCAGTGTGGAAAGGTCTGAAAGACATCACCAACTACAAGACACCATCCCCCAGCACTGTGGAGAATCAACAACTGGCAGACGATCTGAACGACTTTTACTGCAGGTTTGAAAAAACACCCCACACCCGCCCTGAACACCTCTCCACACAACCATTCACACCTCCAGCAACCCCCCTCTCCCGAAAACCTGCAATTCAGATCAGTGAAGACGAGGTGCGCCAGGTCTTCCGGAAGCAGAAAAGGAAAAAAGCACCAGGCCCAGACTGTGTTACACCAGCCTGTCTGAAATCCTGTGCTGACCAGCCGACCATCTTCACACAGATCTTCAACAGATCACTGGAGCTGTGCGAAGTCCCTTCATGCTTCAAACGCTCCACCATCATCCCCATCCCAAAGAAACCCAAAATTACAGGACTTAATGACTACAGATCTGTGGCTCTAACGTCTGTGGTCATGAAGTAATCTGAGAAGCTGGTGCTGGCCCACCTGAAGGACATCACTGGACCCTTACTGGATCCTCTTCAGTTTGCCTACAGAGCAAACAGGTCTGTGGACGATGCAGTCAACATGGGACTGCATTATGTTCTGCAACACCTAGACAGACCAGGGACTTACGTGAGGATCCTGTTTGTGGACTTCAGCTTGGCTTTTAACACTATCATCCCAAACCTCCTCCTATCCAAATTAACTCAGCTCTCTGTGATACTCATCCAGAGTGAGCAAAAGGGCTGGCAGAATCACTCTGGACCCCTCACATCCAGCACACTCCCTCTTTGAACTGTTGCCATCTGGTCGACGCTACAGAGCTCTGAGCACCAGAACGACCAGACACAGGAACAGTTTCTTCCCTCAGGCCATCCATCTCATGAACACTTAACAATAACTGTGGAACACACAACACTATCTATACACGTATATACTTATTCATCTAACACACATACTTAGTTTACATTCCGAATTTGCACATAATATACCTGTACATACAATTGTCAATCTGTATATTGTTATTTCCTATTTACTTGTTCTATTTTTATTCTTTTATTTTCTGTGTTTTTGGTTCTGTCACTGTCATTCTATTGCACCGTGGAAGCTTCTGTCACGAAAACTAATTCCTCGTATGTCTACATTATTATTATTTAGTCCAATTATAAAAATTAAACTAATTAATAAAGAAATATCACTATCACTGTAAAGTATTTAATAATAATAATTATCATTATTGTTATTATTAATACTACAATTATCATCATCATTATTATTATTAATAATAATAATAACTGTATGATTTTACGGTACATTTCTGCCATATGTGACCCTGGATCACAAAACCAGTCATAAGGGTCAATTTTTTAAATGGATATTTATACAGAATAGGACAATATTTGGCAGAGATATAACTATTAGAAAATCTGGAATCTGAGGGTGCAAAAAAATCGAAATATTGAGAAAATCATCTTTAAAGTTGTCCAAATGAAGTTCTTAGCAATGCATATTACTAATCAAACATTAAGTTTTCTTCATGGAACATGATCTTTACGTAATATCCTAATGATTTTTGGCATAAAAGAGAAATGTATAATTGTGACCCATACAATGTATTGTTGGCTATTGCTACAAATATCCCCCAGCGACTCAACACTGCTTTTGTGCTGCAGGGACACGTATGGACATAGTCACCACTGATAAGCAACTACTAAATATAATGTAGAAACTTACATTTTCTGTAACGCTGCTTTGCAACGATTTGTATTGTGAAATGCGCTATACAAATAAACTTGAATTTAATCTCACATACAGGAACCCAAACACACAGGCATAGAGAGATGAGTGATCTCAAACGGGCCAAACATCATAATGAGGCTCGCCCGCTCGACCCTCGGGCCACGAGAGAAGAAAACCGGTTCATTCAACTGCTCTCGACCCTGAGACCGAGTCCAGACTCCTCTCGTCTCCTTCAGCACTTCAGCAAAACACAAGCACACGGGTCCAGCTTTACACAGAAATCCTGCTCACATACTGAGACAGACTCACTCATCAGATTCACATCACAAACTTAATGTCAGTCTAGTGACTAAAACGCTTGAAAAACTCACAATACTGATGAAAGCTGAGAGCCGACAGAGTTTTACTCCGGGATATTAAAATGATTAGGCAGTCTGATGACGGACACAGAGGATCTTAGTCAAGCGCTGTGCTGGAATAATCCAGAGTCTGACGCGCATTCACACTGCCAACACATTTGGGTTTTTAACAGCACAAAACGTGTGTAAAAAGTAAAAAAATTTTTTTTTAAATCAATGGGTTCAATTCCCAGGGAATGCAAAAACTGATATTAATAATAATAATAATAATAAATTAAATAAATGTGTTAATTAAATTTTGTATTCATTTATTTTCTTAAATGTATTAACTAATTATTTTTATTTATTTATTTGTATTTTATTTGTTTTATTTTTATATCAGTTCATTCATTCTCTGGAAATTAATACAATTAAATAATAAAAATAATAATAATAAAAATAAATAATTAATTACCTTGAAATGCAGTGTCGCTTTGTGTAAAAGTGTCTGCTGAATGCCTAAATGTAAATTTAAGTAAATGGAATTACTTTTAAAAAAATAAAAGAAATAGCAATGCTAATGCATACGTAAAATGCATTTTTTTTTCAATGAGAAAAAAATCATACAGGACTTTATCCATCAGGAACTGAAGTCAGCTGAAAATGAAAGCTTTGATGAAAGATTATAAAGACGAACATGTTTTTCTTTAAAATAACGTCACCGGTGAGTCATTCACAATAATAGGAGGAACATGAATTCATGTTTACTGTACAGTGACTCCCACAATGGCATTTACTAAATTTACAGTAAATGTCACAGATGTGTGTGATCTTCCTCTGTTGCCTTCAAACCCTCGTGATAAAAGTGTCTCGACCAATCAGAGCGCAGACGGCGAGACCCTCGTTAAACCCACAGATGGACCTGAGAGTGATGCACAATTGCAGCTAAAGCAACAGTGTCAACATGCTGAGACACACACACACACACACTGCTTTAATATCAGAGGCCATCATTGTCCATGTCCATCACACACTCTTCCACGTCAACTCAAAGACCTGAAACTAGGGGTGCTCGATCAGGATTTTTGAGGCCGATCACAGAAAGCAGTATCTGCCGATACGTTCACCGATACCCATCTTTTTATCATGTAGAATTATTTATAGTAAGACTCCAATCAGGAATTTTAGACATATATTCAAGGCCTGAATTTCATTTTTGAAAATGAATTCCCCTCTTAGGTGACTCCCGATTTTTTAACTTGAGGGGTGGAGGGAGTATGTGTGAACCTGGTGTAAAAGGGCGCCTCACATACAGCTCACGAAACCAGGCTTGTGCTGTGTGTAAGATTACGTTGCCGTCTGCGAGTGACGCAGTTAGAGAGTTGTTGCGAGACAACCGGAATGTATTGAAAACACATAATAGAGGTGGAAGGGAGAGGACAGAAACGAGCGTGCAAAGAGAAAAAAGACGTTTCGATGAAAAAGTTTCGATGCTCGGTTAAAGTCGCGCAGATAGGAATGTAACGAACCTAAAGGAAGTGTTCTTAATCGCAATACTGCTTTGTCCACGAAGTTTACGGGAAACAGCTTTTCCATAAGCGCCACCTAGTGTCAGAGAGTGACCTATATTTACATTCAGCCTGTGTGCAGTTTTTTTCTGGCCAAAAACGGATCATTGGTAATGTTATTGTTTTAGTGATTATGCAAACAAAAAGTCATTTTATTTGTTGTGTGCTGATTTTTAAATATAAAACTTGGTGAAGTGATTTATGTGTCGGTACTTTTTTTAACATCTCCAGCACATTTTAACAATACCGTGATAATACCGATAACCGTGATAATTTTGGTCACTATAATCGTGATAAGAAATGTTCATACCGTTACGTCCCTAGTCGCAGGTCTTCACACGAGGAGGCTGAACGCTTCCGCTGACAGACAACAAACAAATACACAGCCACCCGACACTTCAGAGAAAACAGCTGTGGCCGCCTTGTTAAATCAGCTCACCCAAAATCCTATAGCAGGGCAACTGCTCAAATCGAAACTAAAGTTCGCACTTAAGTGCAGGAACGGAGCAGTATAAATAACAAAAGCTCCTTCTTAGCCGACGGCTATTACTCTAATTACAAATAAGGTGCAATCAAAAATACAAATAGCAGTAGAAATAGCTAGAGAACGAAATAAAGCTTCTTAGCAGCAAGTAACAATTTAAACAACAGATGCAGAAACAAAGTATCAAGCAAACACTCACACACTAACCCTAACCCTAACCCTAAATGTGTAAACGATTAGGAAAACTGCATTTCTTGTGTTGAGTGTATGATTAACTGAATAGTTGTCAGTTTAGAGCCAGTCGAAAATATACCATGTTCATTTGATCGAAAGACAAATTAGAGTTTTGTTTGTTGCGTTTGGACAAATGGTTCATAAAAGTTTGTGATTTGTGCAAAATGTTTTTTTCAGATATTTTAAAGTATTGGCTGGTTGTATTAACTATCGTGAAAACATTTCAGAGTTTTGTGCACATTGTTCTGAGAAAACTATTTGCATGATTTGTATGAAATGAATGAAAACGTTCAATCTGTTTAGGAAAATTACAAAGTGTTCAGATCACTGTGTCAACTGCTTTGAGAACGCTGAGCTGAGTTTGGAAAAATGTGTCAAATCCATTGAGAAACACTGTAACTGATGGACTGGAGTGCTGTGGATTATTGTGATGTTTTTATCAGCTCTCGTTCTGACGGCACCCATTCACTTGCAGTGTGACACTGATGCAATGCTACATTTCTCAGAATCTGATGAAGAAACAAACTCGTCTACATCTTGGATGACCTGAGGATGAGTAAATGTTAAGCTTTCTTTGAACTATTACTTTAAACTTAAGTTAGTTAGACTGTTGACATGTTTGTAGAAGTGTCAGGAATGTATCTTTTTAATTAAGGGGCAATATTTGCCCACTGGAATTGATTTTCAGGTGTTTTATTATTATTTTATTTATTCAACTTTATTTTTTTAATATACTGTATCACCCTATTTTGTCAAATAGTTCAACAGAAACAATTAATTAACACATTGTCTCAATTCTAAATATCTTACCAGTACTACATAATCACATTTTAATTTAATTATTGAATGAATAATTTAATTAATCAAAAATTAATCTTTTTTTTAACCAACATTTGCAATTTGTGTCTTTTTTCTGTCATTTTTGCCCCAAGCCCCATAAATTCCCCCCTTTATTAACCTTCACACAACACTCATTCTCTCTCGCTGACGTTTTTATTATCAAAGTTCATGAAAAGCATAATTTCCCATGTGAAGGTGGCCTTTCCATGTGTCTCCCCGGAGGCAGCTTGTGCTAATCGACTCTAATCTTAGCAGTTTAATTAAGAATGAGGCTGATGAGCAACCAACATGAGTTACTGGTACAGGACGAGCGTTCACTGAGCATGAAACGAGCGTCAGACGATATGCACAGACACACAGGTCTGTTACTGTGGAATCAACCTGCTGATGCATTACAGACAGCAGAGGAAAACAATGCTAAACGCAAATAATAAAACGCAACTGACTGAGGTGCTAAATCAATTCTGCTGCTGTTGATGCATTTGCAAAATTGCCAATTTTCAACAGAAACAGCAGAAACAGCATAATAAATAAACCGCATGAAGCGTCATGAGGAGGAAAGTGTGAGACCCTGGTCGGCAGGTATATATGAGGAGAGACTCCTGAATGATTCATCAGATCACAGATGCACACGCGTGATTCTCCGTGTTGTGTAACACTGCAGACTTTGACTCGTGTGGAGGAACGTACCTCTGGAAACCAGGACAGTTATTTCAAAAATAAAATACTCATTTGATGCATCAGGACTGAATCATCAGAGCAGAGGAACACCTTTAGTGCAGAGTGAGTGTGTGTGTGTGACAGAGAGAGAGAGAGTGTGTGTGTGTGTGACAGAGAGAACACGCTCCCATCCAAGGTCTCACTCTCCATGACACGGAGATAAAGTGTCTTCTTTACGCAGACGACCTGCTTCTCCTGTCGCCCACTAAAGAAGGGCTTCAGGACAGCCTGAATCTGCTGGAGGATTACTGCCAGACCTGGGCCCTGACAGTCAACCTCCAAAAAACTAAAGCCATGATCTTCCAGAAATGCTCCAGACCTCAGGGACTAACACACACATTCACACTATCACACAGAACCATTGAAACCACAAAAACATACACTTACCTCGGCCTAAAGATTACTCCAACAGGTAACTTTACTTTGGCTGTGAATGAGCTCAAAGAGAAAGCTCAAAGGGCTTTCTATGCCATCAAAAGATCAATTAAAATTGACATCCCAATCCAAATCTGGCTCAAACTTTTCAAATCAGTTATCGAACCAATTGTATTATATGGCAGTGAAGTCTGGGGTCCATCTATAAAATTAGATTTTTTAAACTGGGAAAAACATCCAATTGAAAAAATGCATTTAGATTTCTGTAAAAGAATACTCAAAGTCCAAAGAAAAACACCAAATAACGGATGCAGGGCAGAATTAGGCCAATACCCTCTCCTTCTAAACATCCAAAAAAGAGCCATCAAATTCTGGAAACACCTAAAGACAAGCGACCCCAGCACATACCATTATAAAGCCCTGAAGCACCAAGAGCTGAGCCTCACGAAGAGTCCCCTCCTTCAGCTGCTGCTGAGACTGACAGAGATCAGCCAGCCTCAGGACTCACACGCACTCTCAACCATTCGGCCCACACAGATCATCAACACAGAGAAACACAAGTACATCACCCACTGGACAAACACCATCAAAAACCAGCACAGATTAGAATGTTATTCGGCACTAAATCGAGAGTACACCACGGCAAGCTACCTGAGCACAGTGACTGATGTGAAGCTCAGGAAAACACTGACGATGTACAGACTCAGCGAGCACAGTCTGTCTGTAGAGACGGGCCGGCGCAGACAAACCTGGCTCTCCCGTGAGGAGAGACTCTGCTCCCACTGCAGTCTGGGAGAGATAGAGACAGAGCTGCACTTCCTCACAGAATGCCCCAAATACCTGACCATCAGAGACCACTATTACCCCAAAATAAACACAATATTTCCCCAATTTAATAGTTGCACCCCAACCGAAAAACTCACCTTCATTCTTGGTGAAAAATCTAAGTGTGCAAATATAGCTGCAAATATAGCTTAAATGTTATTTAAAATTGCTATATTGTTCCAAATTATACTGTTGTATATGTTCTCTTTTCCTATACATGCTTTGGCAATGCAAAATGTGCTTTTGTCATGCCAATAAAGCTAATTGAATTGAATTGAGAGTGTGTGTGTGTGTGAGAGAGAGAGAGTGTGTGTGTGTGTGT